GCATGTTTATGTTTTATGATACTTGTGACTAAAGAACTGTTTAGTCGATGCTTTGCTCAAAAACCATTGGACTAAGGAACTGTTTAGTCAAGTTTTACTTGGAACCTCTTGGGCTAAGGAACTGCTTAGTCAAGTTTTACTTGGAACCTYTTGGGCTAAGGAACTGCTTAGTCAAGTTTTACTTGGAACCTCTTGGGCTAAGGAACTGCTTAGTCGGGTTGCTATATTTTGTTTGATAACTATTATTGCACTTAGAATAAATGTTAAATTGATNTGCTATATTTTGTTTGATAACTATTATTGCACTTAGAATAAATGTTAAATTGATGTGCTTGAGAGTATATGTTTCCAAATGAAAGTCCCCGTCCGTAAACKSTACTTGTTAACTCGGGTACATTCCCGGGCCGTGGTATTGTGGATAGCCGCTATTGTGTTGACAGTCCCACCCAGAAAGGGGTGCACAATTACTTACGTTTTCTATTCTAATCATGTGGAATTTGGACCACCGCTGAATTAGTACTTATCGAAATGTGGGACCTAAGTAGTGAACGGGCAACTTCGGGTTGTTCGAAAATTAATGGGGCAAATTGGTCAAGTAAGGCTCAGTAGCGTCTCAAGTTTTTCATCGTGGTAGATTTACATTTATTAAGTGCAAAGAAATCGCATWAGTTTGCTATTACTTGGTTTATGCATTGAAATGTTTTATGCATGTGAAAACCCGTGAACTCACCAACTCTTTGTAGTTGACCTTGTTTTTTTGATTCCATGCTTTTCAGGTTTTAAGTAAGTTGTTTGGATTTTTTGGGAGCACACTTGGGCCAAGATCGATTAAGTCAAGATTTTTTTTGATGAATTTGTGAACGTTGTATAATTTCGTTWTCTCTGTTATGTCGATGAATTGTTTTTATTTTGAACAATTTGAAATAGTGTTATTTATAGCTGTTGCTAAGACTCGCTTGCCTGTTAGCATCCCGTGTTTCCGCTTTAGCGGGGTGTGACATTTTTTCATGATAGAATTTAATGTTTGTTTTTTTGGAGATGTCACGTCGAGAGCGCGGTAGAGGTCGTCTTGGTTGTAGAGGTAGCTCCATGTCTAGTAAGGGCAACAACTCTGCCGGCAGACGTGGCGACCCGTGCGTCGATGAAATTATAGACTCGTGGAGACCGGCCTCCAGGATATAGATGACCGAGAGGTGGAGGCCTCACTTTGATTGGTTCAAGATTGAGGAGAGGCCCCAACCATGAGATGTCGACACCCCGTTATCCGAGCTAGCGACCATATTTTTCTTTGTTAGACAACGGGTATGTAGATGTGGTATAAGACTTTGTATTATATAATAAAAATGATATGAATGGTCTTTTGTGTTGTATATATTATTTTAATTGTGCAGGTTTAAAGATGCCCATGTTAGCTAGGAAATGACAACTATATTCAGGTCTCCATTTGCTAGTTTGTGGCATAGATGAAAGGAAGTCCCTCAGAAAACTCGCGACTTGATGTTCCAGTGATTTTGGGTTGGTGTACCCCTTTAATGTAATTATACTTATAAGGTTACTATTTTTACATTGATACAAATATTGTGTATGTAGGCTAAGTTCAATTGGGAACTAGAGTTGGATGACATGGTTCGTGATTTATGGACCAAAACCATGCACAGTAGGTACTCAAATTGGATAACCGTTGCACGTGACTAGGCCGTGGCACAGGCCTATCCCGGTGCTCAGTAATGGGATGGTGAGGACTTCTCACATATTAGATTTCACCGTCCTCTATGGATTCCATAGAGGTTTTGGATTCAAATGATTGACCAAGTATGTATCTCTATTGTGAGCCTTATGAACTGCCATGTGTTATGTACCGACTTATATATGTGTTTTGTTTTTAGTAGGTTTGGGATACCGAGCCTTGGAAAAGGAAATCCAGGATCAATAAGGCCAAATAGAACATTAAGTTTGAGGGGGTGTCATCCAGGCACACCAGGGATCGATTAGTACTTCACAGCATCGAGACTGAATGGTGAATATATAATCTTTTTTGAATATGTAATTCATTATCTATGTTTACTTACAACTTAACCTAATTGTCTAATGTAGGCACATGTATTGGGTTATGATCTGACTGCTACTAAGGTGTTTGAGCGCACTCACTGCACGAACCAGAAGTTTGATCAAGATTTGTCCGGCCCGCCTACCGATCCTCCTCAGTTCAGTTTCCCCAAAGCTGCTATGTATCATGTAAGTTTTCTAAAACCATTACTTCGATTTTATAGATATATTTGATAGGTTTAAAGTAATATATTTAATAAACATGGTGATGCTATTAGTTTGGGCTGCCATTGTTGGGCAGATGTTAGGCTAAGTAGATAGGTTGAGAATATGACTAACATTGGTAATTAGAATGCTTTAATTGTTAAAAATAAGCATTGGATATGTTTGATTTACGGCCATTATGTTACTGAAATTTCTACATATATAAGCTCCCCCGCTTTTGTTTTGATGAACCATAAGAGCAATTTCAATCGCTTATGGATGAGTCACAGTCTAGTACCAACACCCCTCCCCTTGATGAGGCATCTCTTTGGGAGCAGAGTGTCGGAGGACGGAAGAAGGACCGCATTTTTGGTTTTGGGACCATCCAGGATCTCTCTTATGCTATGGCATGCAGATGTAGAAGTAGTATCGGGAGATCATACGATTCAATAACTGAGGTATGTTGGTTATATTGCTATATACTTTCTCATTACTTTCGTGACGAACAAATTAATGATTTTGTCGAATATTGAATATTTACAGGTAGCAGAGTTAAGAGAGAAGTTGGCAAGGGTAGAGAAGGAGGCGCGATTGCGGGAGGAACGCCATCAGGGCGAGATGAAGGCTGAATGGAAGAGCAGGGAAGATTTGGAGGCCGCACAGGCCAGACACGTTGTTGCCTTAACCGAACAGGTCGCCTAATCGGAACATTTTGTTTCGTTTATGCGATTGTCAGGACACGATTCCCCCTCTCCCACCTCCCGATAGTTAGATTGTATGAATTTGAACATTAAATTGTATGAATTTGATATTTTAAATTGTATAAATTGGTTAGTTTTAATTTGTTCACAATTTTGGTTTATTATTTTATGGCCAGAATTTGTATAAATAAATATAGGAATTATGTAATTATAAATTATTTATTTTTAAATTAATAAAAATTAGCGACGGTGATTAGTGAGGAAAAAATCTATCGCTAATCAGTCGCTGAAAGTTTCGACAAAATCCGTCGCTCATCCATCGCTGAAAGTTTTCCTCGCTGATCCGTCGCTGAATTTCATCGCTGATACCATTACCTACGAGCTTTTGACCGACGGACGATCAGCAACGAATCAACGACGGATGACGGCTTTAATGATGGATCAACGAGAGATTTTTCTCTCCCTGATTTTTTTTATTTTTGTAGTATATAATAACACATTTTAAAATTCAATAATCAGGGTTGATAAAATAAAATATGTATTTATTTATTGTAGTATATAATAACAATTTTATTTCCTTAACCAAGGTTAATAAGATATGAATTTATTTACTATTGACCCCCAAACATTAACCGATACAATAAAGAGTGCAAACAATTCAAAAGAATTTCTAACCCTAAATGTTATTTTGGGTGTTCAATCGGCACCAAAATGGTGATTTTTTTTTAAAGATCACCGATTCAAATCATTTTAAAATTATTGTATAATTTGTGTGATTGTTAATTCTAATTATAAACAAATAAAATTAATCTAGATGAAACTTGCTTCAAATATTCATAAATACAAAAACAATTTTTAGCACCGCATATATATTTTTTAATCAGCCACAACACCAAAAAATATATATATTTGATCTAAATGATAAGGACCAAAAATCTTATCCGGTAAAAGCGAGACAAAGACCATGAATCTTACCCGGTAAGTGAGAACGACGACTCTTACCACGATAAGCGTTTAGCGGGTAAATTGTTGCATAAGATGTCGTTTTGGTGGACTAAAATCTTATCGGTACGTAAATAATAGTGTTAAATTTTACCCGTAAGCACTTATCGGATAAGTGTTTGGTAAACGGCCCTTAGCTGAATACAAGACAGATCATGAGTTCAATCCCTGGCTCCCCGCTAACATCGATCGTTAAAAGATGCAAAAAATAGCCTTACATTGATATTCTTGGAGGCAGTTCCGCATGGAGCCAAAAATGCCGTTAAACAATAATAATTATAATATCTAATTATTTATCATAATAGAATAAATGTATTATATTAATCATTAATAATAATTTGTGTTTCAAGAACATGCAAATATGAAAGAGCACAACTAAAACCAAATTATAAAATATGAAAATTAGTGACAAAACATAATTTATACGAGATTAAAATACAGAAATAAAAAAAAAGAATTGTGAAAGAAGGGGCCACTTACGATGGAGATTGTTGCGGCTTCATTTCCTACTTTTCCTCACGACTCGGAGACACATTCTTCGATCTCCATTTCCCTTTCACCCCCTCTTACTTCCACTGTTTTCCAAATCCAACCCTCTAACTTTACTTTATTAAATTACATCCCTTCATTTTCGTCGCACCAAAACATGCGACTAAATTTTCATGGATGACACTTTTAATATCCATATTACTTCAAATTAATTAATATTATTCATCTTTAGCCATTATTATTTACAATTTACATTTTTTTATCAACAATTCATTATATTATATTATAGTTCATCCTTAATTTATACAATTTTACCAAAAAATTTGATATATAATTGTTTGTATATATTGCTGAAAAATTAAAAAGGTAATAATTTATTTAAATACATACAACAAGTAAATTCTAACAAGTTTAGGGGCTATCTTTTGAACTAGTCGTTGGCATTGTTAGGGGACTTTCCGAGCCTGGAAATTAAAGCTGTTGAGAAACTATATATAAACAGTTGTATGATGATCTGAACGGAAATGCCTTAGAAACTAAGCAGAGATCTTAATAGGGAATATGGGAACGTCATGGAAGTTGGCGGATCATCCAAAGCTACCCAAGGGAAAGATGGTGGCGGTGGTAGTTTTGGATGGTTGGGGTGAAACTTCTCCGGACAAATACAACTGCATCCATGTCGCTGAAACACCAGCCATGGATTCTCTCAAAAAGGTATATATTTATACTAATACTAGTATACCTTCTAGCTGTTTCTAGAATCCTTATCTATACTATATTATAATGCATTTGGCTAAAACTCTTAAAAACTCTTAAACTCTTAAAACTCTTAAACCCGTTCATCCCCATCCGATTTCATCCCATAACTAAATCCGTGTAACTAACTGCAGATAAACACAATCAAATACAGGATAAACATCTTATTTTAAATATAAAAAATCTAAAATATAATTAG